CTAAATAGTAAGATGCTCTTTGAGCCCCCTAGTTATGTTTCAAGGGCATAATCACCGTTCCAACATTTTTCTACTCCAAATAAAAAACATACATCAAATTAGCATATTGATTGCAAATTGAAGGTGATGTATAACAGCTTGTTATCTTATTAATATATTTTTACTAATCACATTTTGATCAGAAGAAAAAAAAAATATTAGTGAATCAATTTTCATCTAAATTGGCGACAGTAAATTTATTTGGTCTATATGTAACTTTTGTTCTGTCCATTTTTTCCTCGTTTATTTACATTAAAGTGTTTAGAATTGTGAGGTATGAAAGGAAATATCCTCATCAAATTGATACATAAGCGCTATGATCCATTCTAATGAGAGTGTGTAGGATAGACATAATTTATTGTCACCTTACACTATTCATTAATTTAGTATTGTTTATGTGATCATTTATCCACAAAGTTAATTTTGTACTATCATGCAAGTGAGAGAATGTTAGAATTCTATGTGCCCACATGATCACATAACATTAATATTAAGATATTTTCTAACTAATTAAAGGGATAAATAACTATGTATTGGTAGTTATAAAGTTCTAAAGAAAATATATAATTAGAGGAATTAAGGAGACTTGTTGTCAACATATTTATGTTTTTATTTATAATAAGTTAAATCTATTTTCTAAGGAAATGAATAAGTTGAGTGGTACGTGTAAATGAGAGATCCAGATCTTGGGTTCGAGACTCAAGACCTCCCACTTACATTGAAAGAAGAAAGAAGAAGAAGAAGAAGTTAAATCTATTTTTCTACAAAAGACCTATGGTAGAATAAGTTTACCCGGAAAGATAAAGTAATGCCAATTTATTATTAGTGAAAAATCAATTAATGATAATTTATTATTAATTGAGTAACTAGTCAATGGGGAAGATCTAGTATCAATTAATTATAATTTATTATTGATAATGAATTATGTACCAGGCAACGGCATAATCCCCATTTCTCTGAACTTGGGGTTAAATTATTATTACCCTATTTTCAGGGGGCAAAGTCCTATTAAACCAACATTTTAACCGTTCGAGCCACGCACACGCACTATTTGGAAATACCTCTACATCACTTAAATCTTCTCATTATATTCTATCAGCCCCCAACACACACACTTTTCCTCTCACATATACTCTGACACACACACACACTCTCTCTCGCCTTCGCAGCAGATTTTAAAGAGCATCAACTTCCATAGCTGTATGTAAAGTTATATCTGCCAAAAACTGGGTTCTTCTTAATTAGAATTTGTGATTTGACTTTAAATGTGAGATTGTTGGCTCTTCGCAGTACGTTGGTGCTGATCCTGCTGCGTTCCGTGGATGCTTGGCCTTTGCTCAACCCCTCCCATCATTGGTGAACTACTAGAGGCGGCTACTGATAGAAGGAGGTCAACTGGTGGATCGGCATGGTGATGATGCGAGGTTAATTCCAAACCCTTGGCTGGCTGGAAAGTTGCCGAATATTTTAGCACTCAACTGTTAATTGCTCCGGTTACTGTTGGTGGATAATAGTCAACTGTTTACTACTATTTTTTGGACTAGAAATAGTACCTTGATCTGTTCTTATTTCTTACCTGCTGCTTACCGAGTGTTGCATCCAATTATACTGTGGATAACTGTTTGCAAAAGTATGACAACTTCACCTGTTTAATCCGAATGTAATGCTGTTTCAAATCTCTGTCTTCCTATACTATTTTCAATGATCTTTCTTAAGTTCATCTTTTAATTTCAAGTGATCTAGAACTGATTGAAACAAATATGAACCAGACTGAAGGCAACGACAATCTTGATGTATTATAAATATACAATATTATTTATGGGTATGCATAGAAGAAAGTGGACGCTGTAAATATGTTTGCAAGTGATTACCTATTATACCTTTCGAAATTTTAGAGCAGTGTATGTATGTGTTCGAAATTGACGGTGAATGTCAACATGCAAGAAAATGCAAGGAGGTAACTAACGAAACCGGTGTACAAAAATGTAAGCCGCCGTAATTTTTTACGGTAGTTATGATTGATTTATGCTTTGTTGTCTGAGCAAATAAAAGATTTCCTTTATGTAGGAGGCTAATAAACTGTAATTGACTATAAAGGAAGAGAAGAAAAGAAAAGATGTTTGTTGTTTAATTCATTTTTTAGGAGAAAAATGAAGCGATTGGATTTGGGAAGGAAGGATTAGCTTTAATTATATAATATTTCCATGTATAATGAGCAAAAATGAAATGAAAGGAGTCAGAGACGAATAATATTATTTATGATTTCCTTAGAAGTTCCTTTTTTCTTTATTTATGATTCATGTAACTTTATTTAACACAATCTCCATACTACACTAAACCTTACTAAGCAATACATGAAACTATTAGATATAAAATATTTGTTATTCTAGGATTTTTTTAAAATTTTAATAGTTTTTTTAGTTCTTCGTCTTGTCTAATTAGAAAGATAAAAAAATGTTTGATTGATTTTGGCATATCATTATTTGATACAATTTTCATGAGAATCAAAGGATAAACGCCAAAAGAAAGAAAAAAAAAGTTAAATTGTTAAAATATGTTCACAATTTGACTTTGTTAAGTTATGGACAAAAATGTATCTGACACATGATCCTATTCTTTCCTTTGTATTATTTCCCCGATCAAACAATTTGTTTTGTGTATATTTTATTTTCTTTCCAGATTTAAACCAAACATGATAGACAGAAAACCCTATTCTTACTTTCTTTTCCATTAGAGTATTTCGTTCATTTCCTTCAATCTCAAATTATGCCTTCGTGAACACACTATATATGACACGGCAGTGGAAATGTAGAAATAGGATTTGTTTCACGTACGAAGTTCATAGAAAAAAGCAAGGGTTGATTCACAACCAAACTCCAAAAGAAATTCCAAAATTCAACCCAAATCTTGTCTAGATTCAACAAAAATCCAATCTAGGTATTGAATCCAAGACACATCAAGTGTTTCAAATTTCAAGAATAATGTCAAAAGTCTTATAACAATAGTCCTATCATATCATGTCCCTACATATAGGAGACAAGTCCTAATCTGAAAAGAAACAAAAGCACTACAGTCCATATAACATTGCATGGACAGAAGACTTCAACATTATAAGGCATGCCCATGCAACCTTTCAACTCGGCAATTAACCTCAATCTCTCTTGCTGCCTTTTTCAACTATTTTTCGCACCATCACACTAACAATAATAATAAATATCCTAATTAACAAAACAAATAAAAAAAAGTAATAAAACTATGGAAAATATCTTAAGAACCCTAAATTAACCAATATTGATGTAGATGAGGAATATGATCAGAATCCCAGGAGTCCTTTTTCTATATCAAATTTCCCCATTAAAAAGAACTTACCCTTGAGTTCCATGACGGAGTGTGATGTATGAGCCATGAGAAGAAAACCCAAGCACCCAATTATGAATATATGAAGTTTCTTGCAATCCTGGAACTTGTATAAAGATGTCGAACCCTACAACTTCACCACCTTCCATTGTCCATACAAATTGGAAAGATAAAAAGATGTGTTGGAAATTGTATTTGTGATATAAACAAAAAATTACTGACCATTATTTGGCTATCCAAACACACTCAATATTTTCTTGCTGCGGAAAAACAATAAAAGCGACTAAATTGACGAAAAATATTCACGGGGAAAATTTTTCAACAATAATAGTCTCATCAAATTTATTATTTTCTCGTCCTAGGAGGATAACTTGCGAAACCTCTAATTTGATAGGAGATGAATTTGGCGGAGCCAATACCATATATGGGCTCTTCTTCCTAGTTGGTTGGGATCATAGACGAATTCCTCTTTGTTGACCTCGATCAGGCTCACAGATATATTTCTACTCGTCCTCGATCTGGAGTCCAATACTTTAGTACGTAGGTTCAAAATTTTTCACAATTAGTGGTGTTGTACGTAGTCTGAGGGAGTTGATATTTATATTGATTGATCCGAGCACGTACTACTCTCCTAGATCTGATAACTATGAGAGCATGGAGTGCCGACATGAATAACAGGTTCATCAAGAGCGAATCTCCCAATTATATACTTATCACAAACTCGTTGCTCGCTCATGACTCTATCTCACAACTGCTGGTGGATCCCAAACACGTACGTCTCTTGAAAAGCATTGTGCTACAAAGCGCATCAAGTACTTGTACAACCGTCTCGCATGTCTACGTAAAAGATCCAGATAGATATTAGAAAGTAGAAAATAACTTAAAATACAAAAAATCATTTAAAATTAAAATAATGAAGTCCGACATGAATTCGTTGGACGAATTCTGCATTTTCTCCACCGGTTACAATCCGTTCCATGGTTAGTTCGGATTGGTCGAGCAGATTTGTCCAACGGTTTTGGACCAGAATGTTGGTTAATTACTTGGTAGGTTTCCATGGTTCCATGGTCAGTAACCGCCCGACGAATTGAACACTTTGTCCCCCGGTTACACTTCTTCTAACCCTGCCCTGGATTCGTCTACATTTTTGAAATGGTAATACCAAACAATTTGTTTAAGTTACTAAACATTTTTTAAAGGGTAATACTTTAATTAGTAATTAATTAGCTTATTTACTCCATCTTCACAAGCAATATTCGTTATTTTGTAAAATTCGTTCATCACATAACCACAAATAATTGGGAGTGGCTAGGTAAATTCACACACTCTTTTGACAACAATAGCCCCCAATTAGTTTCTAGGAGAGGTCAGTACTATTTTATAAATCATAGAGGAGGCGAGTGCTACTCAAAGAAACCTTAGGGAAGGTTTCTGCAATTATCCCATATAATTAACTCATCAAAAAGAAAGTTTAGCTGGAAAGGCCCACAATTTGGGCTGTGAGGCATGTGGCGAAGGCTGAGAGTCACCTGTCACCCCATCCCCACCGGTGCTCATGATTGCGGATTCCAAACTTTTATGAAACCCAGTTTAATTGTTGGACGGCAGCACTTAAATTCCCCCCAACCCAGCGCCCTTTCTTCAGTTACCGCTGCCCTGTTTCTCTCTCTCCGATAACTTCCACTTAGTTTTAGAGAGAGAAAGTTGCTAATAGTGAAGAAGAAGAAGGATGAGGGAGATCATAAGCATACACATTGGACAGGCCGGGATTCAGGTGGGGAATGCATGCTGGGAACTCTATTGCCTCGAACATGGCATTCATCCTGATGGCATGATGCCTAGGTTGGTTCTTTCTTTCTTTCTTTCTTTTTTCCTTATAATTTCATTTCATTTCTTTTTTTTTTTATTTCTGCACTAGAAATTATCATTGTCGTATGTTTATGCTCCAATGTTGTTATCTCCGACATCAAATTGTCGGTTATGGCAAATGCGGTTTAATTTCTTAATTTCTGATGATCGTTGAAGATGCACCGTTGTCTACATTGTTAGCATTTTCATTCTTGATATGGCAAATGGTGTGAATCCTATTTTTTGGTTTTGGAAGGGAGGGGAGAACATAAGTTAGTGCAGATGAATTGATTTGCTTCTATATAATCATGATCTATCACCGTATTTCTTAGTTGGTGTTGCTGTCGATTTAGTTTTCAAACTGGATGTTGTTTAACATGACATTTTTGTTCTCTTAGCAAATGTTCAACCTGGATTCGGTTACTACTGAATCTCCTCTTTGACTCTTATTAGTGTGCTAAAAACAAAGATAAACTTCACCCTACTGCTTAGATGATGTTGGAATGGCTTAATTCATGATCTCCACGAAACAGAGCATAAAACTAACCAATACATTTGTCTGATATCGTCCGTATTCTTCATAATGATGATGGTACAAACCATTCTTTCCTGTCTTTTGGTTAGTTCACTATACAAAATTGTGTAAGTTGATTGTGCGATTTCTTTAATTTGTTTGAGTAGTAGTTCTTGCACCTTTCACAAACTCTTTTTACAACTTAACCTTTGGTTCATAAATAAGTTTCTTGCATCTCTTCATCAATGTTTGTTTGAAGTTTGAAGGAATGTCTTTCAGTGAACATGCTTTTTGAGGATGTGGTCTAGCCGCTCTGGTTGTACAAACTAAGCTGAAATTAGTGACAAGGTTGTGCTTCTCTTTGTTTCTCTTTTCCTTCCTTGATCTAACATTGCAAATCACTTTCACTTGCAGTGACAAGTCAGTCGGTATCGCAAACGATTCCTTCAATACCTTCTTCAGTGAGACCAGTGCTGGGAAGCATGTGCCTAGAGCTATATATGTTGATCTGGAGCCCACAGTTGTCGACGAAGTTAGGACTGGCACCTACAGACAGCTCTTTCATCCTGAACAACTGATTTCTGGCAAAGAGGATGCTGCCAATAACTTCGCTAGAGGGCATTATACAGGTTTCCTGCTGTACATGAGTGGTTGTGTCAGTTGTGCTGCAATTGTTTTTATGTAATTTTCCAATTTGGCTAACTTCCTCTTGATGCCTTCAGTTGGGAGAGATATCATTGATCTTTGCCTCGATCGAGTGAGAAAGCTGGCAGACAACTGCACTGGCTTGCAAGGCTTTTTGATCTTTAATGCTGTTGGTGGTGGCACTGGCTCCGGTTTGGGTTCCTTGCTTCTAGAGCGCTTGTCTGTTGACTATGGAAAAAAATCAAAACTTGGCTTCACTATCTTTCCTTCACCTCAGGTAACTGACCCTCAGAAATTGCCTATAGTCAATATATCAATTTAGAAGTGTGTTCTTGGTGGCAGGACCTGTACTTTACTAGATCCAATGAACTAGATTTTAAACTTTTATTCAACTGAAATTTTCAATTTGCAGACAAGCTAGTTAATTGACTGATCAAACAAATGTTTAAAAAAGAAGCATGTTAATTAAGGAGAAAGAGAACTTATGTGTGAAAGGATAAGGGTTACAGGAAGTGATCCCTTGCTTGGACAATCATGCAATGAATCTTAATGCATACTGCTTCACAGGCAAAAAACAATTGCATGTTACTGAACTTCAACGCTGTGATAGCTAAACTGTTTTCCTGCAACCTGTGTGTTGCTTTCTTCTGTCTAGTCACAGTTTTACAGCGGTAAAGTACAGAGACCTACATATGAGTGCAGGAGTGGCTTTCTTTTGCATTTCTTTGGAGCATTTTCTTTGAGCAGTTTTCAATGACTGGCTTACAATTCTTTTGCAGGTTTCAACTGCTGTTGTTGAGCCTTACAACAGCGTGTTGTCTACACATTCCCTCCTAGAACACACAGATGTTGTAGTGCTTTTGGATAATGAAGCAATATATGATATTTGCAGGAGATCACTAGACATTGAAAGACCAACTTACACTAACTTGAACCGCTTGATCTCTCAAACTATTTCATCTTTGACCACCTCATTGAGGTTTGATGGAGCCATTAATGTGGATGTTACTGAGTTCCAAACCAACCTTGTACCATATCCACGTATTCACTTTATGCTTTCATCCTACGCACCGGTTATCTCTTCAGCCAAAGCTTATCATGAGCAGCTTTCTGTGCCTGAAATCACAAATTCTGTGTTTGAACCCTCAAGTATGATGGCCAAGTGTGACCCAAGGCATGGGAAGTATATGGCATGCTGCCTGATGTATCGGGGGGATGTGGTGCCCAAGGATGTGAATGCCGCCGTTGCAACCATCAAGACCAAACGGACTGTTCAGTTTGTTGACTGGTTAGTTTATCTCATACACTGTTTAAGTCTGAATTAGATGTGCCTATTTTGTTAATTACTCTGAGGTGTTAATCATGCCCTCACTGTTTGAAATCACGAGGGATAAGCTAATTATCGGACATTTGAATTTTAACCCTTTGGTTGTTCAGATATAGTGAATGAGTACTTGTTGCTTGACTGTATTTAGTCACTTGTGCGAGCCAAATTGAACTTTTTGGTCAAGTTACATACAAACTTCTTATTGCTGTTCTTATATTATTTAATAAATAAACTAGTTATATTTCCAGATGCTCTATTGTGCTTTAAATTTATGAATATATAAAAGGTACTCCTTTTGGCTTTTGAATAGATTTTCTCATGTAAATACTCTCAGGTGTCCTACGGGTTTCAAGTGTGGCATCAATTACCAGCCTCCCACTGTGGTGCCGGGTGGTGATCTTGCCAAGGTGCAGCGTGCAGTCTGTATGATAAGCAACAATACGGCTGTTGCTGAGGTCTTCTCGCGAATTGACCACAAATTTGACCTTATGTATTCCAAGCGAGCGTTTGTCCACTGGTATGTAGGTGAAGGTATGGAGGAAGGCGAGTTTTCTGAGGCTCGTGAGGATCTCGCTGCTCTTGAAAAGGACTATGAAGAAGTTGGAGCAGAAGGAGTTGATGAGGAAGAGGAAGGGGAAGACTTCGAGTAGCATTGCTTAAAAGTTTGATCAATTGGCCCAACCTACCCAGTCTCGTGTTGTGCCCTTTTGTGCTTATTCACAAAATATAATCAATTATTTGTAGTAATTGAAATGCTACTTATGTTCGTTGTGGGTTGTTTTGGCAATTAGATGTCCAAAATACGCCAGTGTTGTTTATATATTAGAAATTATCAAACTCCATTTTGTTACTGAACCACTTCTATTGTCAGCATGAAATTGACCATGGTTATTCATTTAGCTCTCCCCGAAATGGTTCATCTGCCAACTTATTCAGTGGCTTCTGATCTTGCAGTCTCATTCTATATATATATATATATATATATATATATATATATATGTATACGCCATAGTAGGTGTTCCATGAGCGTATCAGCCATCAGATAATTCATTTGCTTATGGTGCCTTGGTCTAAATTGTTTCTCGCCTACGGATGTTCATCTAGATGCCTGCCTGCCTGCCTGCCAGAATTTTAAAGTTGCTTCTTGTCTGGTCCTCAAATCAGAGCCAACGAGTTTCGGCATCTAGAGAAAGGAAAGGCCAGCCAAGTTTTATTAGATTATGGTTCCTTCGCCGGAGAAAGAAGTTGACAAATTTATACCAGTATCTTTTCCAAAGAGCTAACGCTTCTGGGTCTATTTTCCAGTAAATATCCAAGAAAATGTTGAAAAAACCAATCTTAATCTTTTTATGATGCACGGTGAGGCTAGAGTGAACTCCTAGCTCTTAGATAAATTATGAAGTCAGTCAAAACGATTTCTTAGACGTTGTGGACGTTGATGCTTAGTAAGCTCCGGTTGGGTTTGATAAATGCTTGCACCGGAGCTGCCTGTTTGCCACCAGGCGCTGAACTAAACGAGATATAGAGAACATAGAAAGATAAAAAAAAAAAAAAAAAAAAAAAAAAAAAAAAAAACCAGGATAAGGGAAAAGAACAAAAGAATTCAGGACTCTGGAGATTATATTTATGGCTGTGGACAGAAATAGATTAAGATTAGCATAGCAAAGAACATAAAGGAGGAAGATCCCAAAGGGCTTCAATGGGATCAAGGACAGTTTCCATGTACTCTTGCACGCCATTCATTGCATAAAGCGATGCTGAAATCTGTCTTTCGACTTTCATGCGCTCAAATTCTGAAAGCTCCATGTGATGATTAGCTATCTCCGGCAAACCACTTTCATTCAATTTAGGCAGCTGTAACAACTGGTGGTGATCTTGAGTTGTGCTGAAGGCGAACCTGTGATCAAAACCTTGTGCTTGGAGACCCGAAGAAGGGATGTGAGTTTGGTCATGATAAGAAGGCCCCATCTCCATCTCAAATCCTTTAGCACAGCAGTTGCTCAAATCAGGCTTGTATGCATCATCAAACAAATGCCCCTCTGGTGTTTTCTGCTCAAATGAAATTACTGAGTCAATGCTGCTGCTATCATATTCACCACTGCTGCTAACAGGACTAGAGGCTGCACTGTTGCTGCTACTTGCTATGCAATTATTAACGCTAACGCTGTTGGCTGGACTAGGAGTGGCACCGGATGATTCATGCATATCAGTATTGCTCTGCGGCACCTTGGCATTTTTTCGCTTGTTGAGAAGAGTTTTAATCCGCGAAGCAAGAGGAGAATCAGGGGAAATCTGTTGAGGGACAAAGTTGGTGCGCGTATTGGATCCGCGCAAGAGGCAAGCAGCCTCATCATAAGCGCGAGCAGCTTCTTCAGCAGTTTCGAAGGTTCCGAGCCACATCCTTATCTTCTGAGTTGTGTCTTTGATTTCGGCTACCCACCTTCCCGAAGGCCTCTGTCTCACCCCAACGTACTTGTTGTTCTGCCCGCTGCTTCTGCTTCTGCCCTTGAATTTGTTGCTCATTTTGCTAACTGGGATGGCAAACTCTTGCTCTGGTTGTTGGAAGTGAATCTCCATTGATAAAAAAAGAGTGGGAGTGGGAGAGACAGAGAAGGGATAAAAGGCGAGGACAAATAATCAAAGAGAGCTGAAAGGCAAGACAAGAATAGTAGGTGTTACCAGGCTCCCAATGCTTAGCCAAGATCAACTTGTCTACATGTTCTTGTTTTCTAAGAGGCTACCTGTATATATCTACTCAAGGGGCCTTTGTTATGATGTTACCTATGACGCTATTTAGGTTCATTTGCTCTTGTCGTTTCTACCTTGTTTCTTTAATGAAGGATGATTGATCATAAAAGAACAACCCCCCCCACCCCCTCCTAAAAAAACACTAACCTTTGATAAGTACCCTCTATTTCTATCTTTTAGAAATGAGAATGCCGGACGGTTTTAGACCCTTACAGTTTTAACCGTTGGTGGCCTTCCTCAATTATTAAGAAGTAATAACCCTTGGTGATCTTTATATTCACACATGACCTTTTCTTCTTATGAATTATTCAGACTGCCTTTTTTTTTTTGATCTGATATCTCAGTGAAATCTCTTCCTTTATCAGGTACAAGATACTACTAAAATGTTGGATCAGCCCAGACAACTTTCATGCTTGTGTTTGTCTCTATGCTCCCAATGCCTTCAATGATGTTCCAGGATTTGGTGGGCGATGGTGACTCAGAAAAGCCAAATGCCAGTTGAACAACAGTTAGAAAGCACCTTGCAATATCAAGTTCTGAACACAAAACAAAACACAGTCGGTAATTTTCTCCAGAATGAGGAAAGAAAACTTGGGTCAATCTAATTAATTGATTAATTTGGAAGATGGGACCTCAACTCAACCTCCTCAAAGCATCAAGTTGGCCAAGTTTATTGTTTAGGACTCTGTCAACCAAGAATAGGGGAGAAAAATGCAGACACTATTATTTGAGTAGTATTTTTGTTGTGCGGGGATCGTTTTCGAGTGTTGTAATGTAAGAGTAAGACCAGGTCCGGTTTGGGATCAAGACAAAACACACCTTTTTGATTGCTCTACACTTTCTTTTCTCGTCTTACGTTCTATAATGGTTTTCCAACTCATGACGTTGTCTTCATGTGTGACAGATACTTGTTGAAGAAATTTCAATGGAGTTACCGTTTACAAACTCCACGCCAAGCCAAGGAGAGGGAAAGAAAGCTACATGGACCGAAGTCAGCATTGCAATCATGCTGAGGCATAATATGCAATTCTAAACCCTCAAGCCAAGGAAAATGCTACCCTTGGATTCAATTGCTAATCATCATCTTGCTTTTTAGCCAAATGGTGTAGCAATTTAGTCATAATGGCGGAGAGAGCAACAGCCACTCCGCTTTGCCATGTAGTATTATTAACCTTCAAATTTACAAGATATTGACTTGTTCTTCTTCATCAATTTTGAGTAATAAACAGCTGCACTAAGGGGATTTTTCAGAGTATAAGATGTACAAAAAATTTCTTACTTTATTCTAAAAATGATGCAATTACTATTCATGAAGGCAAACTTTTTTTTTTTTTTACCTCCTCAATATCTGTGAAATAATACGAGCAAAAAATCAATTTCAGAGATGCTTGAGAAAATGGTTAAAACTAATGAATTTTACGAGGATTTGAAATGTCCACACATTAGTATTGAAACCTTTCTGGACAGCAAATGTTGAGCTTCTCTTGCATTTTGTGGAAGTACAGCTTGCTAGTACTTTCTTTTTCTTTTTCTTTTTTGTTTTGGTTTTGTCCCCTTTTTTGTAGAATACAACTTCCTCGTCCTAGTACCAGTGCGTTAGAAGAGCCAAATACTGCAACTAATGCGAAGAAATCAATCGAATTCCCTTGTTTCAAATATGGATATCGTTTTCATTCGAGTGATGAGAGGCTTAAAGCAAAAGGGATCCTAGTCCTTGTCGCCTCCTCCTTTGTCTAATTAAGTAACCAGGTCAAAAGTAGGGTGAGAAATTAGGCAAATATAGTTGTCAAGGCACGAAATGTTGCCACTTGGAAACACCTCAGAAATTCTCTAGATCATCACAAAAAACTAGAAGTCAAAGACAAGAAGGTTTAACAGATAAAAAGACCTATTCAGACTACAATCAAGAATGTCGATCTCATGGCCTATGCTGGCTGCTATTGGCCCTGGTTTTCACTTCCCAAAAACAGAAGGCATCATGCATGCCCCATTTGTTTATACTTCAGTACAACTGCTACTACATCACTAATTCTAATCCTGAAATCGTTTTACCATGTCAGATATCAGTTTTTTCCATAGACAGAAAGAACACATACACCCAATTAGATTAGAACGCCCAGAAAGTCATCGTCAAATTGAGTCAGACACTAATCTAAGGGAGACCCACAAACGCTCAGATGTCAGATATCAGTTGTTCGCTGAAAAACATAAAATATGCTCTGTGGTTATTGCAAGAATTAACGAAGCTGAACTAAGAAGATGCTGCTGCTGCGCTAGGCTTAACACTGATGTGATGTCTGGCTTGTCGATTTTAGGATGCAACATCTATATATAATTTGGGTTCGAGGTAAATATAAATATATGGAGAAGACAGAATAATAATGTCTTTTTCGGATTATTGTTACTTCTTGGTTCTTTTCACCAGTTTTGGTGCTTGCACATTTATATATATGACCATGAATGAATAAGGTAATCTCAACTGAAAGATGCCATTCTTGTGTTCTGCACCTCTGAATTCGATATATGAAAACATCCATATTGTTAATACCTATTTCAAGCGCAGCTCGGGCAGCAATCATGAATTTGACTTTCTTAATTTTATCGAAACAGTAACCTAATACTGCTAGTATATGATTAAGAACGTGGCAACCGAAGATTAAAAGAAAGGTTTAAAGGGATACAAACAGATGTTTGACTTTCGGCTTTTTTTGTCGATCAGATTGAAAAGATTGCAGCACCAGAAAGGTATCTTTTTCTTTTGGTAGAACACCAGAAGGGTATCTGATAGAAAGAACAGATTCGATGCTAGAATCTAATTTAGGCGAGCAGCCTTAAGTAAGCAGATTAAAGTAACCCTCAATCATACTATACTATCTCTGTTGCTGTTCTCCAAATTTCATCGTTTTCTTTTACAGTTTTAAAAGAATCGTATGTTTTCAAGTAATCTCCCAGTCTCAAAATTAACTTGTGATTATATATATATATTTTTTAGTAAATCTTATATACACTGACTGTGTATACACTATCACCGTTGGATTTATGATAAATTCAATTTTTCATGGCAAATCCAACGCTGACAGTGTAGGAAAGATTAATTTGTTTTTTTCTTCGTTTCTGTAAGTTCTGAAACAGGCAAGAGGCTGTTGATAAGTAGC